TGGCAGCAAGCACAGCGACAACCAAATAAGCACGGCAAGCACATAGGACTCTGCAGAGATGCACGAACACAAATAGATTTCTCAGCAGAAACTGGGAAGCAGTCTGAAACTTGATGCCTTGTTGTCAATGGTCTTAATACAGAGACATTACATCTCTAGTGTAAATTTAGCCATGATATTTTAAGTAACAAGGAGATCTGGAGTGGAGGGGCAGAATTAAATGTGGAAGTGCTAAAATGTCAGTGTTAAATACCACAAAAGCATCGCAATGCAACAGTGAGAGAAACTACAACTTGCTCACCCTACTATAGCAAATTTAAGGGGGTTTGTGTACGTGATACTGTAAGATTTCATATAATTGACTGAAATCTTTTATACTTAAGCTTAGGTTTGAGCAAAGAGAAGAAAAAAAGGACTTAAATAAATGGGAAATGGACCAAATGTTTAACATACAGTGCTTTAAAACAAAGACAGAAACAAATACGCCCTCAGGATAGAGATAAAAATAGTTTGCTGCATTATTAAATACTTAAAGAAAGCACTCACTCCCTGAGAATCTCACCACACTTTTAAAACGCAACCCATAATAACACAGTATAGCTTTTTGTCACCATCTAGAACTTATTCTGGAAAGAATATGAGGAGTAGGGTGCTGGTTCTGAGCCACAGCTCAGGACAAAACTTCCAAAGTTTGTACCTTACAGACTGACTTCCAGCTTTCAAAGTGCCTCTTAGACACCTACAAATCCAAAAGGTCCGATATTAAATAGCACCAGACACCTGAATACATAGCTAGATAGCAGAACCATACATTCAGAAGTTACTTGGGTATGTAACTTAAATCCACTATGTAAAATTATTTACCCGCATATCTTCACCTCAAAACTAGATCATGTATTTACCTTGTGGAAGACCCAGCCCAGAGTATTGGCAATAATCACAGAATAAACATAGAACTGCTATTTTCTTTTTCAGTAATATGAAAGCAACCATACCTGTATCAACTCTGCAGAGAAGCTCAGACTTCCTCAAAGGTTTTGTATCAGTAAGTATACGCCAGCAAAACAAATTAATAAAACCCTAAAGATATGAGGAGCACTAAAACAAACATACAAAGAGAGTCTCTTCCACCACTTCTAATATATAGATCTGAGTAACGAGAAAATGCCCACCTGAGCTGCAAGCTGTTTGCAGCAATGTGCCATTAGGAAGTAAAATAAAATTAATTTGGTAGCATTTTCTGTTGTATGCTGGCAGGAGTTGTATATTTTCACTCTCATTATCATACACACCTTTCTCCTATAAGGATTCCTCAATTTGGCAATAATGCTGGCTATACCACCTTGAATGGAAATTGCTTCCATCATAATTAGGCTTCCCCCCCCCTCAAAAAAAAAAAAAAACAACCAACAAACAAAAACCCCACCCTCGTATCTATAATTATTTTGGCCATTCATCCCCATTACATCACATCCCCAAACTGCTAATTTGAAGCAACTGTGAAAAGGCAATGGAGGCTTTAACCTGCCTAAATGAAGCTCATGTTTCTTGGGAGGGTTGCTAATTGGCTGATGATAAGGAGGATAAAAAAGAAGCCCTGTTGCTAGTTCAGCCCAACAGGAAAAGAGGTTTTCTTAGTCCTGCTCACAAAATGTAGGGTTATGCTATATATAAGGGCAAAAGGTTTTAGTATCAAGTTCTAATCTGATTAGAGCTTTTCTCAGGTAAAGTTTTTGATCTTTGTTGATTTTTAAAAAGATATATGTGTTAATTTTTTTTTTTTGCCTTGTCCAGAGCAGAATTGTGTGAAAAACTTGCTAGTGATGTTTGCATACTTTTTTTTGTGAGCCTACTAGTTATGGTTGTTTGTTAACAACCATCTTCATTTATGTGACAGACAAATTTATTCTTCAGAAGCAGCCTGGTACATGCAGGAAACTTTTCTTTTTAGTAAGTCTTTTTCTTTTGTTTTTATTATTGTCTGAGTAATATTATTAGTTTCTGTTGCATTCTAGTATATTTGTTTCTGAGGGTTTTTTAACTCTTAAATGATAAAAGCTTCAAAATCTTTAACCTTATGTCTTTTCTCTCTCTTTTAAAAAAAAAAACAACCAAACACCACCCACCAAACAAGCCCACAACTATTTTCTGTGACTTCTAAGGTCCATGTATTAAACCTTTTTATTCTACATGGTAATGTTAAACTGTACAAGTTCTGAAAGAGCTGCATGACGTTAAAGATGGCTAAGACTTCAGGTACTCTTGAATTTGGATAGAGTTGAAGCTATAAACATGCTATTTCTTTTCTTTTAGTAGTACAAAGAAACTTTCAATTAAAAACTGAAGACCTTAAACCTCAGCTACCTACGTAGGTATCTATGTTGTATGAGTCGAAGGGATGTTATGTAGCCTGACTTCAGTTTTCAAAAGCAGTAACAGATTTCATATGCTACTGTATTCATTAACAATGAAATAGACCCTTGTGTATCTATTTCTACTTTTAATTTTGCTATTAGCTTATAATGACTCTTTTTAAAATAGCCTTTTCTGATGACTTCATTATTCATCAGAACGGCATGAACTTGTTCTCTTTTTGTGATCTTATCCTTGCTCATGAATAAAAAACACTAAATAAGCTCAAAACAACTTATATTTCTGAACTGTAAAGTTTTGCATTGAACCCCAACCTTTCATTAATCAATATATTCCACTAACTTCCTGATGTTAGTGTATTCTTAATGGTCTCATGGGAACAAAAGGGAAATAAACTCCAGCTCTTGTGTAGTTAAAATAAAAATAGGCGTATCTAATCAGTTTTGTTTCTTTTCAATCATGTATCTTTCTATTAATTCATAACTAATCTTTTTTCTCTACATAATTTCTGCAAATTTTGAGTGTTTTAATTTGCTATGGGGTTTTCTCCTGTTTCTACTGAGGAAAAAAGCTTTAAACTATATAAAAATGTAGGTGTCTGCCAGCAAGCTAATGCTATCATTGGTATTTGCTAATTGTCTACAAGACAGATGCAAATCTCATCTGATTTGTTTCACTTTCTTATCCTGATGTTTTACTTTTGTGGGCTGGGAACATAGCTCAGAAGCAGTAAGCCCTCTAATACATGCTTTCGTTTCAGTTTAATCATGTGAATGCATCTTTGCAAAAGCTGAGCAAAAAAGCTTTCTCCTTAAACAGAGGTTGGTTTTCTGCTTCCCAGGCAATTATTTGAAGACCATTTTCTTCTGAAAAGATCCTTCACCCATGGCAGAATGGTGGTTCTTATCTCAAGTGACAGATATCCTGAGAGCTTTGCCCAAATGGTCGCAGTGAATAAAGGTGCTACCTCTCTCCACTGAGTGGTAATGGTTTCTCTGCTGCAGTATCTGTGGTTTGGTTTTATTTGTTTGTTTTTTTTTTTTTAAAAAACAAACCAACCAACTCCCACACCACTCTCCTACAGCCTGTTTTGACAGCTGTTGCAAAGGGGAGAAACCCTATGAAATGTTTTATGACAATCTTTAATTTGTTTGGTTTATGGCTGAGCTTTCTACTAGCAATGCTTTAGCTGGTCCTTTCAGTAATGGTAAAACCACAAAGCCTGCAAGACTGATGAAGCAGAAAGGGTGGTTTTGTTAAGGCCTACTCTACTGATGGCAATATATACTTTGCAGTCACAATCTGTGTTACCACTTTTAAGTTCACTTGCAAATTATGTTTGCTGAAGATGATGTGGATTTTGATTAGTCTCAAACTTTTTTTGGTAAAAGGACTTGTAGTCATTGCTTGGAAGATGTGGTGGTCCCCAGTGAGCTCTGTGTAGATATAGTGTGCTGGCTGGGTGGGTGGACCCTATTAATAAAGCAAAGCTCATGCAGGATGGTGGCTTGTGATCAGAGGTATGCCCTGTGAGCTTGGGGAGTTAAAAAAAAAAAAAAATCAAACTGTGTCCTTTATTAGCAACTCACAAGCTGATGGTGGTGATGGGGCTGATCCATGCCCTGGTCAGCTGCATCTGTCCTCTTTAATGGCTCACTGGCCTGTGAGGTGGCCATTGCCCCTTCTCACTGCGCTGTGGGGCTGCTGATGGCTTGCAGTGCAAGTCTCTACGTTGTCTCAACCGGAGCAAACACGGGAGGCATCGCATGTTGGCTTTGGCTAAGCATCTATGTTTCTGTGTGTAGAAATGATCCTGTAGTACAACAGAGGTGGTGGCGGACCTTTGATGTAAAGATCTTGAGGTAAAAGTTTAGTGGCCTGGCTGAGGGGTGGCACCCTGATGGCTCTGTGACTTCACGACAGTTCCTGAAGTCCTTGCTGCACACGGAAATCCCCCTTTTTACCTCAGGCAGGGAGCAGTCTGATGAACGACTGCTATGTGCACCAAGGCACTTTAAGAGGGGAAAAAAAAATTCCTCACTCGTGAAGTGCAGCTTAAAAAGAGGGGCAGCCGAAGCGCCGGGGCTCAGGCGGGGCCGGGTGCGCCATCGACCTTCTCCGTTCCCCGCCGAGGCGAAATGCCGGCGCCTGAGCGCGGAGCGCTGCGCGAGCGGGCTGCGGGGAAGCGGGAAACCGCGCGCGCCGACGGCCACCGCCTCGCTGAGGGGAGCAGGGCGGCTGCGGGAGGCCCGCCCCGCCGGCGGGCCGGGGCCCGCGCCCCGGGTGGGGGGGGCGCGC